ATACATTCGAAAACATTCGAAAATATTGGAATCCTTCCTGCTGTCGCAAACTGACTCACTAACTTTATTTTCTCGTCTATTGCAAGCAAATGCAGTTGCACTTTATACGTTCAAGAGTTCAATATTTTCAAATACTCCGAATTGCATGTATTTTGGTCGAAAGCTTTTTGCCAGAGGTAGTATCAAATATTAATTTTAGCGCTTGGCTTTTTTCTTTACATGAAAAACTTCGTCGTTATGTATCGAAGACTTAGAACTTTCAACCGATGGTATTTGTTTCAATTACACATGTAAATTAATTAATTTCACGTCGAGATATCGCTGTAAAAATGAAACAATAAAATAAAATCATGCGCGAGAATTTTTATATAAATTTCAATATTTATTAATAAACAAATTTTTATTTTATTAATGAATTTTACAAATTAATGTTGCAATAATCATTTTGTCCAAAATGAGTAAGTATCTGAATGAATTACGGAGGTATACGTGTTGTACATGTAATATATAAGTTACGTATGTATATACTATAAAAAATGGCGATGAAAAGAAAAACGGAATATCGATATTGTTTGATTTCGTTATACGCTTAACGTGATTCCATCTGTTTCGAGTCGGAAATGGCGGAAAATGGAGGAAACGGCGCATAAAGCACGTAAATGGATATTACGAAGAAACTGAAAGAAAAAGTTAAACAGCCTGAAAGAATGGGGAAAAATGAAATATCCACCGGCTGGCCGAAGCAGAAAAAGCAGCGACGGAGTGGTGGTGGAGAGAATGAGGGGAGAGATAGTAAGGCAGTGTGACAGATAAAAGAGGAAGCGAAGAAAAACTGTCTAAAGAGAAACAACGACGCGAGGGAATCCGTTTTCTTTACAATGATTGAAAGCGCATGCACAAGAAATATGATTGACGAGAAACTAGAACAGGAAACAGAGAACATTCTGCGTGTATGCGGTAATGAAAGAGTAATCCGTAGCCGATATTGATACAGACGTGCTCATTATCCGGCAATATGTTCGTCATTCACGAATATTATCGAAGTCGTTACAAATTCTTCGTTTTCTCTCTCTCTCTCTCTCAACGATTTCACAAAAAGGAAAAGAAACGAATTGCAGGATTAAAACCGATCGTTTTATGCTGTTGCAACAAGCATTTATGAGCGGATAAATTTTTATTACTTAATAAAAAAAACATACGAAGTTTGATTCGAAATTGAAATTGAAAGTTGTCAAAATTTCACGGTTCATTTGCGTGTGCTCGGTATCGTCATTCCTTTTCAAAACAGATGCCATTTCCCCCCCTCTTGCGTTCGTTATTCTGCACCTGCCGGTGGAGCGCGATAATTGGAGAAAGAGTGCGTTTTGCGCAGGTAAGAAAAAATTAGCGAGCACCACTCCACCGAAAAACGTCCTGTGAACGAACGACAATCGAATTGCTCGAAAGCAACGAGATATCCGTCTTGATTCCCTTAGTAATAAGTTGTCTGTGCCCCCCCCGAACATCTGCAACGAAAGACGTTGTGCCAGCCGATCGTGCTTCTTGTCGAGAGCTACGAGAGAAGCCGATGCTTTTGGAGTAAGGGGGCAAGAGGTTGCTGGCTGGAGGAAGAGGAGGAGGAGGAGGAGGAGGAGGAAATACCGTGCGAGTAGCGATAGGGAAAGGCTCGTATCGAGACGTAAAATATCGATATTGTTTTATTAGATTCGGCAAGTTTTATCGGGAATATTTCCACCGGTATTTCATCGACGTGTAGTATTAATTCATTGATTGAAATTCTAGTACGGCCGTAGTTTTAAATTTCTCGCGACGAAAGTCGATAAATGTCTTTCTTTTTTTTTTTTTTCTCGCTAATTCACCGTCAATTTTCTCTGTTTCGTTACCATTAGAGCTTGATAATATCCAGGTCCAGATTGATTTTCAAAGGTTTTCGCAAACATTGGAATTACTAATCGTTATCTCCGAGCAACCAAAATGTGAAACTGACGGCCAATCTGTTCGTCCTGGTTTCACTTTCCAACTGTCGAAACTTCCCAAGGATCACAGAAACGGCACGGATAACAGAGCGATTCGATAATTGTTAATTCGACGAGATATCGTGTGACTGACAGGGGACACTATTCGAATCGGACTCGAAGTGTCTTGAGCCCATCGCTAGTTAGCGATCTGACGTTCCGAGCCCGTTAAAGCCCACACGTTGCCCCCAGGCGTATTATACGAAAGCCTTTGTGCATTGTTTGAGCTTTCCCGTCCATTGTGCTTTCCAGTTACACACAGCTTGGATTCTCGTGCACTCGTGGCATCCAGCTGCGTTTCCCCTCGTCCTTTCCCTCCTCGTTTCTCTCTTTTCTCCTCTCGTCTACCATTCCTTCCTCTTCTCTCCCACTACACTACGGAGAACAGTGACGATTCTTCTCTTCTCGATACACAGGCAGCTTTTGCTGCCTTTTTGGACAAACGTCTGGACGGGATAAGAAAACTCTGCCGGAAGAGAATGCACCGGGCAACTGTCCCGCGAGATGTCTGGAAGATTGTGTTTTTCAGAATCGGTCAACCATCGCTTCTTCCGGTTTCGTCGGCCGATTGAAATCCACCGACAATTCACATGCGCGAACATTTTGCAACAAACAGCTGAACAGCTTTCGTGGATTTTTAATAAATTTGTTTCAACTGACATTTCAATCGACACGAATTTCTGCTGATTGGAACCTCAACTTCCATTTGTTTGAGCCAAATTTTAATCGACGCCCGATTAAATGAATTCTTTTGCCGATTGAGTTCGACTTGCTTGACTCTGAACTCCTGTCGTACGAATTATTTGTACGAAATGAACGAAAGACCACTCGTAGAGGAGAGAGTCACTGGAATCCTACGATACGAACTCCAAATATACAGAGATGGATCATCGCATATTGCCATCTGGATTTACATCATTATTATTACGCGTAGCGAAAAATGATTCAGATGAAGTTGAGTGGTTTCGAGAGGGGCACGTTTTGACGATACTAGTGTTTTTGTAGGTGGACGTGTAGAGGACATATGAAGGTCATTAACGTTTTTTTAAATGGAATCATATATTTTTTATTGCGTTCAGTTGCTGCACCTTGGTATTCTTTACAAAAAAGATATTAACCTATTTATGTTAAAAAAAACATTAGTTTAGGAAATATTTTAGTTTTAATTTTGTTTATTTTTATTAACATTTTTTTATTTTGTTTATTTTTATTAATATTTATTATTATTTTATTAATATTTTATTATTTTATTAATATTTTTTTAATTTTGTAAAATTATCGTATAAAAGACATGGAAGAAGAATGATAGTATTCTTATACTTATACTATCTTTGTCTTCCACGCACAGACTTTACAAAAATTAAAATGTCCTTCTAAACTAATTGTTTTTTAACATAAATACTTTTTTGTAAAGAATATCAAAGTGCATCAAAAAATATACGATTCCATTCAAAAAAAAAGGTGATGACCTTCACGTGTCCTCTACACGTCCACATACAAGAAAACTAGCATCATCAAAACGTGCCCCTCTCGAAACCACTCAACTTCATCCGAAACATTTCTCGCTACGCGTAATGATAATGACGTAAAACTAGATGACAATACGTGGCGATGACAATACCCACCGTGTATAAACTATTTGTCCCAGAACAAGTTTATGTAAATAGAGTTCTTCGTGATAACATCGCGTTTCACGAGCAAATGACAAACGGTGGATGAGATAGAGTTTTCAATCAAACATCCGCTACTTTAAAATAGATGGTAGAACAACTGGCTCCAAACGAACCCGATACGGTTAACGAAGCAGAATCCCTATCAGTTAACGCGGCTTATTACTCTGTACTTTGGTATCTTCTTTCGTCGAAAGATACGAGAACGCAGAGGTGAGTCACACTCGTGAGACGCACGTGTGCGATGATCAATAAAACACGAGGGAGAGAGGAAGAGAAAATTAGAGGGAAAAGAGAAGAGATTCGAAGCGTTCGACGTGGTTCTGGGACGCGAATCGTGTAATTTCATCTCGCTTCGACCCGGCCGGTGTCGCGCAGCGCTTCGTTAATTAGTGCAATTCAAGGGAACATTTTTATCGAGAGTGAACTCCCCCCCCCTCCCCCCCGCTTTCGAATTGAACGCGAGACACGCTGTAATATGTTTCCACTGATCGCAGGTTTTTTTATACCGTGGTAATTAATATCCGGAATAAACGACGTGAAACGGAATTAACAAGATTCGCCGCGCGCTCGACGAATTTTCACGGATAATTTTACGCAGCCCGGTGTGGCAGCCCGATTTTTTTCGGAACTCGAATAACTTTTAAAATGTCCTTTAAAACCATTACTCTGATTAACGTGGTAAACTGGGACAGGCGAGTTACAGGCTGGTTTCCCTCGTGCAACCAAGGATTTAACAATTTCAATATTTTTCTTTCTCTCTCTCTCTCTCTTTCTTTTAGAGAAAACGTTTCAAATTTAATTGGAACTCTCTGCTCTCGATTATTTCTCGATACTCGACAGTTAAGTAATATTCAAAAATTTCATTGAAACACGCTGGCGGTATCAAAAATATTCAACAAACTCGGCTCAAGCGACTTTCGAATTTGTTTCAGCAACGGATCCGACGTTTACAGCTTTCTCGGCGAGCTTTGCCAAGGAAATCTGGCTGTTCCCTTCGGGACAGGAGAAGTACTATCGAGAAACATTTTCGCGGAGACGAACGGGAACGCTTTGTACACGGGCCAAAATGGAATCAAGTCGAAATTGCTTTCGGATATATTGACGCAACCACGGAGCAGTAATACCGATGAGTTGGTATCGCGATCCTGTTAATCGTGCGGCAAGCGATTTGTTTTCCGTTGACCCAGCTTATATTCGCTTTCGTTGCTTTTGAAACTGACGAGTTATATATAAATTTGTAAAAAAAGAGAAGATGTTGTTTTCTCTGGCAGGAGGCGTTGGATCAAAAGGATAGAGAGGAATTTTCACTTACCTCGAGATAGATTTCGGAATGCGGATTGAAGGTGTTATTGACCGAGTGAAGAGAGACGTTGAGGTGCGGCAGCCTGTGGAAGACCCTAGCGAGCTGCGGTACCGTGTACTGTTCGGGAAGCTGCTGACCGCCCGCCATTTTGGAGAACCCTTGTCTGCCGAAAACCCCGTTGAAGAGCCACTCCTACTCGTCAAGACATGCTACGAGACCTGCAACAGCCAACAAGTCACCGGGTTAAGAATTGCTCCGGGCTTCTTTCTCTCAAGATACTGCGACATTATATGTCAGAAGAGAGAAACGTGTTTTCATTCGCCGAAATATATATTTCGAATAATATCTTTATAATATAATAATAATGTAATATAAATATATTTATTTTATAATGAAAATATAATATAATCATAATAACATACATATTTCTTTACATATATATATTTCGAATAATAGCTTTATAATAATATAATAATAACATAATATAAATATATTACATATTTATTTTATAATGAAAATATAACATAATCATAATAATATACATATTTCTTTATATATATATATATATATATATATTTCGAATAATATCTTTATAATATAATAATAATATAAATATGTTATATATTTATTAATACATTTATATAATATAAATATGTTATATATTTATTTTATAATGAAAATATAATATAATCATAATATAATAAATATATAATATAAATATATTCTATTATATTATTACTATAAATATATTATATATTTATTTTATAATGAAAATATAATACAATCATAATAACATGCATATTTATATATATGTTTCGAATAATATTTTTATACATATATATATAAAATATAATAATAATATAATAAATATATAATATAAATATATTTAATTTATAATAAAAATATAATATTATATATATATTTGGAATAATATCTTTCGTATCAATATGTGGGGTAGTCCAATTTAAATTCAAATTTTCGAATTTAAATTCAAACTGATACCGGGAAAGAGAAAGCAACGTCGAGGTTAATACACGCAGATATCATCGAAATTTATTGATATTTCTCTCTGGTTATCCTCGGGTTGAGAATTGAAGAGGAAGATCGTCGAACCGCGGATTGGCAAATTGAAGCAGCGGAATTGACGCGAGACGGAAAGAAACCCCGGGATAACCCTGTTATATATTTAGCGCCGGCCGATTATCCGATTTAGCGTGCAATTAAACGCGGTAACCACCGCGCCAAAAGCAGGATCCGGATCCAATTCGATCTGGACACCGTTTAGTCTCGAATCGAATCTATCGGCCGAGCGAGCCTCCCGACGTTTTATAGTTTAGTTTAATCTTTGTTAGATACGTCTATGCTGCCAGATGATATGCTCTCTTTGTACTATCTCTCTCTTTCTCTCTCTCTCTTTTTCGCTCCTCAGTCTTTGTCACTCCTCCGAAACGCTTTGCCAGGCCTGATTCAATTACGCTCGAAGCGCCGTTGTGGAAGCAACGAGCGCTTAATTAATGAAATCTGTGCCAGCTGCTGCTCCGTTCCGCTCCCATCGACGACGATACCCGACAAGGACACGCGCCTCTTCCGGAAGTATCTCGAGAGTCTTTTTGACGAATTGCTACCCTCCGACTAGCGGAGAACAAAAGACCACGAATAGGACCCTCGTTCGGGCATCGATTATCTATCTGCTTTATCATAGATTTTGCCTGTGTAGACTATTATTTTGGGACGATGTGGCTAAACCGCGATTTATTCTCACGCGTTTATGGGAAATTCAAAGGTGAAAAAATTCGCGCGTACCCATGGCAGAAATATGTAAAATGTGTAAAGTAGACTGGTCATAGTATTTCACAAATAAAATTACGTTTCACTTAGTGACTTTTACGCGTTCTTTTAATTATAATTATAAAAATATAAATTTATTTATTTGTGAAGATATTATATATTATTATAAAATATTATAAAAATATTTTAAAGATATAAAAATATTATGTAAATTTATTTATTTACAAAATTATAAATTTATAATTCTAATTAGGATTTTCTTGTATTTATAGAAAATTTGAAAATTATTATATATGTATAAAAATTATATATATATTTATATATATTATATGTATAAAAATTATATATATATTATATATAATTTTTATATATTTTATATATATATATATATATAAAATTATTACATATTATATTATACACAATACAATTTTGAGAACGTGTAAAATATTTAAAGATAGTGCTTCCTATAACACGTGGAAGCTAAAACGATTTTCCACCAAAGTGCTACTTTGTAAATTAAATTTCAAAAAGTATGAATTTGTATTGCGGCGTTCCACTTGCCACACTTTTCACTTGACGTCCACTGATTCAAAAATATAAAGTCATCACTATTTAATCATAAAATTCCCCATTCCGTATCGTAGTATATACGTTAGACGCTGCATATCAAGATGATTTTAAACGTGAAAAGACGAAATACAGAGGCAAGCTCGAGAGATTGAAACTCAACGAACTGGAAGTAAGATGTTTGATTAGACGGCATCCCTAACGCGTGACACACTTGATTTACATAATCATCGGAAATTCTATTCCTCCGTTTCGACAGCCTCCGTCTCGCGCATATGAATTCGACCAGAGCGACCAAAACGATCATCTGAAACATTCATCAATTTTCTCGGTCCAAAGCGATATCATCCTCTGGAATTTTGGCAATTAAGATGAAACAAGCGTGCCGAACAAACGGGCCGAAGATCTTCTCTAACGGGGAAGATGAATTTCGTTCCGAGCCCGAGTTGCAAACGGAATATTAACACGTCCAACGATATGGAAAATTGACGATTTCCGGCAGAATCTTAGACGCAGGCTCGACTAGCTGCATCGACATCGTCTATCGCGATCTTTCCTAAGTGTATATCTTCGTTTCAGCGAAATGTAACAGGACGTGATCGCTTAAAATAGAGAAAGCTGTTTTCTTTTTTCTTTCTCTTTTTTTTTTTTTTTTTNTTTTTTATACTACGAGAGATTCAAAGAAACTATCGAGACAGAAGAAGAACGTGTAGGTTAAAATTAAAATCTCTTCGACGGATCGGTGGTCTATTCAGAATCTATTCAGCATCCTGTTCACGATATAAATTGATCCCGTTCCTCTATTGCACGCCGTCATCAATTGTATCGAGCTCTTCCTACTTTCACCGTCTTTTCTTTTCTCTCGTTTTGGCAACAAATAGAAGAACGAACGTTTCATCTGTAGCAGAATATCCGCTTTCTGAAGCACGATACTAACGAGACGGCAAGTCTCAAATAATTTTTCATCGTTCCAACGATGACGTTAAAGTAACACCCTGTTCTTTTCAAGTTCGAAGTGATTTTCACAGATTTCTGGATGTACACTGCTCGCAAAAATTAGGGGATATTTCCAAAATGAATATGAAGCGATTGAAAAAAAAGAAGCATTCGATTTCTTTTTTCTTATTAAACGAGAACAACTTTCTTTGACTTGTCGTTTGCATTTCTGATGTTCTTGTTTAATAAGAAAAATCAAATGCTTCTTTTTCTTATCGTTTAATATTCATTTTGAAATATCCCCTAAATTTTTTGTGAACAGTATATATATATACATATATATAATTAAAATTACGATTTCGAAACTAATGATTCTCTTCGACGAGAATTGCCATCAGACGTTGGACGTTTATGCAAATTTAAACTTTCATGAACGAGAAGAAAATATAAATTATAAAATATAAATTAATAAATCCGTAAAAATGTCGCAGTCTAATTATTACAGTTGCTAAGGTCGTTTGCTTTTCTGACGTTCTTGTTTAATAAAAAAGAGAATCAAATACTTCTCTTTTTTATCGCTCCATATCCATTTTTAAATATCCCCTAATTTTTGTGAACAGTATATATAGGGTGTCTCACGTAGCACTTTTCACGATTTTTCAAGTACTCGCGATAATTTGACAAAAAAAAGTTGATCAGTTTTCGATTGGCTACACAGTACAACAAAAAAAAATTTTTTTCCAATAATTGTCAAGGTCACCTTCGTTTTTTTTAAATGACACTTTATATTTTTGACTTAATAGTATTGTAGCTCGTATCTAGACGAATTCAACGACCTAGTACACCTTTGGATGATCTTGAAGGCAACGAAATGAAAATTTCAACAAAAAATGACAATCAGCATGAATGGGTGACTTGTGTTCATTATTAAAACTCGAAATTACATTCAATTCAGGAACCTGAAGGTATACTAGGTCGTTGAATTCGACAATACTATTCAGTCAAAAATATAAAGTGCCATTTAAAAGAACGAAGGTGCGACAATTATTCAAAAAAAATTTTTTTGAAACTGATCAACTTTTGTTGAAAACATTTTTTCCTCAGATTGTCGCAAGTACCTGAAAAATCGTGAAAAGTGTTACGTGGAACACCCTGTATAAAGATTCTGCAAAAATTTTCCAGAGTACATTCAAACGTTAAAGAACACTGTCATTTATTGCAATTATTTTGTTGTATGATTTTTCGAGACTCTGAAGGGACTTCACTTTGCATTCCAGAGGCTGGCTCTTTGTCGTCGCCGTCGGAATTATAAACACAGGATCGTAGAGAAACGAGCTTCTTGAACAAAATGGACGAGGAAAAAAAAAAAAAACGGCGGACGTCGTCGTGGAGCAGCAGGGAAGTTTGGCGGTCCATTCTTGAACTTCCTCGGACCGTCGTGAACACCGTGGGAAAAGATCAGCTGCCGCATGCCGGCTTTAAACTACGTTACACCTGGTTGCTTCGCCGGGTACAATGTCGTCTATTCGAAACGTTTCCACCCAGCCCACCGAGTTATCTCGATATTTTCGGGGGTTTTATATACATCGAATACCACGAGATAATTCCACGTGTTTGCGAACTTAAATTTGAATATTTCCTTCGCCGAGCAGACTAGTCAAAGTATCGCGTTGCTACGCGTGGTTTAGAACGATTAGGTTGAAGTTTTGACGCGGTCAAAATTCCCACGGGGGAATTGAGTATAATAGCATCGATATAATGAATTTGTTCTATGTAAAAAATATTCTAAAAAAGAGAAATAAAAAGTTTCGTTTTACAGCATTATACTTACTTATGCTGTTTAAACTTTTTATCTTATATAGATTATTCTAAAATATTAGAACTTTTAGATGTATAGATGAGACATTACGAAGACAGAAAATATTAC